AGAATGGCCAAAATTAGCAAGACAGGAAACAATGTGTGTTGGAGAGGATGTGGAAAAAGGGGAACCCTCTTACACTGTTGGTGGGAATGCAAGTTGGTGCACCAACTTTGGAGAACAGTGTGGATATTCCTCAGGAAATTAAAAATAGAGCTTCCCTACGACCCTGCAATTGTACTACTGGGTATTTACCCCAAAGATACAGATGTAGTGAAAAGAAGGGCCATCTGTACCCCAATGTTTATGGCAGCAATGGCCATGGTTGCCAAACTGTGGAAAGAACCAGGATGCCCTTCAAGGGACGAATAGATAAGGAAGATGTGATCCATCCAGAAAGGATGAATACCCAACTTTTTTATCAACATGCACGGGACTGGAAGAGATTATGCTGAGTGAAATAAGTCAAGCAAAGAGAGTCGATTATCATATGGTTTCACTTATTTGTGGAGCATAACAAATAACATGGAGGACATAGGGAGATGGAGAGGAGAAGGGAGTTGAGGGAAATTGGAAGGGGAGATGAACCATGAAAGACTATGGACTCTGAAAAGCAATCTGAGGGTTTTGAAGGGGCAGGGGGTGGGAGGTTGGGGGAGCCTGGTGGTGGGTATTATGGAGGGCACATATGGCATGGAGCTGAGTGTGGTGCATAAACAATGAATTCTGTTATGCTGAAAAGAAATTAATAAAAAAATTTAAAAACACAATAAATATATCAAATAAAAAAAGCTTAATGGGATAGATAAAAAATCATTACCTAACTATATGTTTAGGAACTCAAATATAATGATATAGACAGGCTAAAAGTAAACAAATGGAAAAAGTTACACTATACAATCAAAAGGATATAGTAGCTAACCTAATATCTGATAATGTAGACTTAAAAGCAAAAGAAAACTAAGAGACACTCATATGTATAATGAGATAAAGGTAAATCCACCAGGAAGACAACAATCCAAAATGAATATGAACCAAATGCAGAGCTGCAAAGCACGTGAAATAAAAACTGATATAACTTAAAAGTAGACAAATCCACAATTGTCAGTCACTTAAATCCCCACCCTACATTGATGAGAATAATCAATGAAAATATTAATACATGAAAAGGTATAGCATGTTCATGAATTGAAACCCCTGAGATACAAAATGTAAACTGTCTCCAGATTTTATTCATACACACACACACACACACACACACACACACACACAAAACACACTATAATACATATACATATGTAAAAATATACATACTATATATATGTATGTGTGTATATAATATATAAATTCTTTTTTCACAACTTATAATCATAGTAACCAAGACTGTGTGATAGCAGTAGAAAGAATTAAACATTGATCAATGTAACAGAGTAGAGAACCTAGATAGAGACCCACACAAATCTTTTTATGATTTTTATTTGACAGAGACAGAGAAAGAGGGAAGACAAGCAGGAGGAATGGCAGAGGGAGAAGCAGGCTTCCTGCTGAGCAGGGAGCCTGATGTAGGGCTCAATCCCAGGATCCTGGGATCATGATCTGAGCCAAAGAAAGACGCTTAATGACTAAGCCACCCAGGCACTCCACAGATCATTTTTTATAAGGATGCAAAAGCAACTCAGTGAAGATAGACTTTTAAATAACTGGTGCTCGAGTAACTGGATATTTATAAGCAAAAACACCACCCTCAACCTAAACCTCATATCTTAATGCGAAAATTATCTCAAAATGAATCATATTTAAGATTAAAATAAAAATTCTTAAAAACCTTAACTCGGGAAAAAGTCTTCAAGACATAAAACTGGAAGATTTCTTAATCATGACATCAAAAATACAATACAAAAATAGAGAAGTCAATAAGTTGGTCTTAAAAACTTTACTCTTGGAAGTCCCATGTAAAAAGGATTTAAAGAAAAGCTAAACTTTGGAGAAGAAAACATTTGCAAGCCATATACTAAACAAGGAACTAGTACCTACAATACATAAAGAACTCTCAAAACTCAACAGCAAACACCAACCATACATGCACAATTAGAAAATGGACAAAAGATGTAGAGAAATTTCACTGAAAAGGACATATGAATGACAAACAAGCATATGAAAAGATGATCAGTATTACTATATATTCAGGAACTGCAAATTGGAACCATGATGAAATGTTTTATGTATTCATACAGTTAAATAGCAAAAACATTGAGAATACCAAATGCTAGAAAGGATGCAGTGAAACTGGGTCTCTCATACATTGTCAATGTAAGATATAATAACTCTCAAATAGTTTGACCATTTCTTATAAAATTAACTCTATGTCTATAGTACAGTCAGCAATTGAACTCCTTGGCCTTTATCCTGGAAAAATGAAACATTCACACAAATCTTACAAATGACCATTCATAACAGCTTTATTTTAATAGCTTAAAACTGGAAACAACCAAAATATCCCTCAACAAGTGAATAAACTGTGATACATCCCAGGGATACATTAGTATTCCTTAAATACAACTCACCAATAAAAATAAACTGATACACATAGCAATTTAGATCTCAAGGGCATTATGTTAAAGAAAAATCCAGATGACAGATACTACATGAGTCCATTTATATATAATTCTACAGATGGAAAACAGATTAGCTGTTGCCAGGGGTTATGCAAGGTTAAACATGGGGAGGGGTGGATGAGAGAGACTACACAGGAATAGCACAAACGTGATGGAGTAGTTCTGTATTTGGATTGTTATAGTTTTATGATCTACATATATGATAAAATGACATATTACATACATTATACTAGTGTCAAATTCCTGGTCTTTATATTGTACACCAATTATACAACATGTAAATATTGAGGGAAACAGAGTAAAAGTTATATGTGATCTCTATACTATCTTTTCAATATTCCATTAACCTATTATTTTTTAATTTAGCAGTTGGACAAAAAATTTGAACAGACACTTCACAAAAGAAAATGCATGAGTGGCCAAAAAGCACAAAAATTATGCCTGTCATCATTAGTCACTGGGGAAATAAAATTTAAAACCACAATTAGATACCTTGACATATCCTGTAGAATGGCTAAAATTAAAGAATAACAATAACAATGTTGGTAAGTATGTGAAGCAACTCAAACTTGTTTACCCTATAATCACACTGGAAAACAGGTAGTTATTTCTTAAAAATTTAAACATGGGGGCACCTGGGTAGCTCAATGGGTTAAAGCCTCTGCCTTCAGCTCAAGTCATGATCCCAGGGTCCTGGGATCGAGCCCGCATTGAGCTCTCTGCTCAGCGGGGAACCTGCTTCCTCTTCTCTCTTTGCCTGGCTCTCTGCCTACTTGTGATCTCTATCTGTCAAATAAATAAATAAAATCTTTAAAAATTTAAATGTGGTACCAAAATATGGAAAGAGCCCAAATGTACATTGACAGATGAATGGATAAAGCAGATGTGATTTTATAAACACACACACACACACACACACACACAAACACATACACACAGAGGAATATTATTTAGCCATCAAAAACTGAAATCTTGCCATTTGCAACAATGTGGCGGGAACTAGAGGGTATTATGCCAAGCAAAATAAGTCAGAGAAAGATAAATATCATATGATTTCATTCATACGCAGAATTAAAAAACAAAACAGGTGAACATAGGAGAGAGGAAGGTAAAATAAGACAAAGGAGGCAAATCATAGGAGACTTGTAACTATAGGAAACAAACGGAGGCTTGAGGGGAGGTGGATGGGGAGAAGGGGTAATTGGGTGATGGGCATTAAGGGGGGCACTTGAAGTAATGAGAACTGGGTGTTGTATGCAACTGATGAATCACTAAATTCTACCTCTGAAAATAATATATGTTAATTAAATTGAATTTAAATTAAAAATTAACCCTGAAAAAAATTTAAACACGGTACATTAAAACCTAAATGTGGACAAATTTTAAATAAATAAAATATATAAATTCTTAAATAAATTAAATATATAAATTCTTTTTTCACTACTTATGATCATAGTAATAATCATAATAAATATTTATTTATTTATTTATATGTGGTACATTAAAACCTAAATATGGACAAATTTTATATATAGAATATACATGTTATATCTATATGCATATATATAGGTATATGTTCTGAGTAAATTACCGTAAGACACAAAAAGCATAAATGATCACAAATAGGAATGAAAAATGTGTCACATCAGAAGAAACAACAACAGAGCAAGAAAATGTATTTGCAACATACAACAGAGGATTAGCTTTGCCTCTGTAAAAGAATTTGAAAAACAGGTAGAAAAATAAATTTCATATTGAAATGCATTTCCCAAGAGGAAATTAACATAGGAAAAGGCACTCAAACTGTTCAGCTATAAGGATTGTGTAAGTTAGCATTAAGCACTCATATCTTATTTCACTACCACCAGAACAGAAAAGAAAATCAAATATCTCAGACTGTCAGGTTGTTATGGATGGAAACTTCCATGAAGTACTGTTAAAAATGTATATGAACACTTCTGAAATTGAAATCACAGTTCCTAGGAAGGTTGAGATTTGCTCACCCAATTGCCCAACAACTTTGTTAGGTATGTAACATGAAGATAATCTTATACTTATGTAGCAGATTACAAATAAAAAGACCTTTACTACAACATTATTTGTCATTGGAATATGGAATATGGAATACCATATTTTTCCTATTAACAAGGAATAATTTTGATGTACTTATATGGTAAAATACATTTGAATGAATTAATTAGACCAATAGGCATGAATGTAGTTTTTTTAAACATTTTAACATCTTAATTTTTTTTCATGTTCCAACATTCATTGTTTATGCACAACACCCAGTGTTCCATCCAATACATGCCCTCCTTAATACCCACCACCAGGCTCACCCATCCCCTCTCCTTCCCCGCAACCCTCAGTTTGTTTCCCAGGATCCACAGAAAGTAGTTTCTAACGTAACACTGAGTTTAAAAAGCAAGTTCCAGAATTATCTAGTCTGGAATGCTCGTTTCGGCAGCACATATACTAAAATTGGAATGATATAAAGCAGATTAGCATGGACCCTGCGCAAGGATGACAGAATTATCTAGCAAGGCATCATTTCTATATTTATGGACAGTAAAATTATAATACATCCTGGAAGAATATACTTGTGATTTTTTTATGGTGATTGTTCCTAGGAAAGGAAGGAAAGACTAGAGAGGTGAATAACCTTTAAAGTCGAGCCGCAGCTCCTCTCATATCTCCCTGTTTACTACCAACAACCCATTCCATTCTTCCCGGCCTCCCATGACTGGCTCCTGGTGGCCTGAAGTATTCTTTGGCTTCTCCATTCACCAAGATACCCGATCACTGACACATGGGGCAAAGCAGAGTACAGAGAAAATAACAGGCAAACAAAAATTGCTTCCTGGAATCTTCGTTCTCAGAACCAAAAGGGTTTTTTTACTTTGTTTTTTACTTTTGTTTTTGTTTTACTTTGTTTTCTTTTTGTTTTGTTTGTTTGTTTTAGAGGTCATGTTGCCTAGTGGGCTTCAAATTGTGTTCTGAGAAGCCCTGAGCTCCTGAAGAGCTTCACTGGGCGAGGAAAGGCTTGGCACCTAGGACTCGGCACCCACCACCCCGGATTGAAGCAGAGCAGTTCTGACTTTATCTGCTTTATAACTGGGTCAGTGCTCTTAAAAAGGACAACAAAACCCCCTGGAGCTTAGGCATCAACTTTACTTTCTTATAAGAACATAATAAAGTCATTTTCTTGCAAGATCACGTAACTCTTCTATGTCTAACTGATTTGATGTTTACAGAACTTTTGGTGCAACGGGAAACTGTTAAGGAAGGTATGTAGGAGCCCTGGGTTCCTAACATCTACCTCATCATATCATATAAACAGGAGGATGCTTTTCCCAGGGTCAAGTCAAAATGAAATGATAATTATGCTTCATTTACCAATGCAGCAATTCTGGTATAAACTCAGAGAGAAAGGAGAAGGTCACGCTCGCTCCATCAAATTTTAGTGTGCATCACACCCTGCTCTCTCACCAGGAAGAGTGAGAGTCATCATCAACTCGTACAGGCAGAACTCTATGATTCCTTTATCCTAGCGATAACCCTGTAAATAAGCATTATGTGTTAAAAAAAGTGCAATGGGGTGTGAGCTTTTGGAAACCAACTGTTTACTCCAATATGAAGTTGCCAGAAGAAGAACTATGTCATCAAGCTTTCCATCCCTGCCTGTTAACTATGTAATCTCTAATGGAAGTCATTCATGAAGCTAATAAGTTCTCTGCAAGGAAATCACTTTAAAGAAAAGGAGGGGCAAGTAATTATATTAGGCACCAAAGTTCATGAGGAAGAAAATTCACAAGAAAACAACTTTGATCTTTGCTCCAGGCTCTGCTTAATGGTCCGGAAAACTAATAATCATTAATTTTCACAAAAGATGTCATATGGCTAGAGCTATAATGTTCAAATAATATTCAATTACATTTTTCTTCTGGTGAGTGAAAGCCTCTTTTAATCATTTTGAAACCAGTTACCACGAAACTCATTATTTTATTCTTGTAATCTCTTCACTACAAGTCTTCAAAACATAGACTGGAATTTCACTTCCAAGGATATACACTGAAACATAGAAGTTGATTTTGCATTCAGATCTCATTCGACCTAACAAACAGAATAATGACATTTTTTTCTACCCCTCCTGGTACAGATTTTTGTAAAGTACTATTTGTCTCTTGCAGAATTTTCCGGATTCAAAATTATCTATTAATATTTCTACTTTTAACAGAAAGCCTGCAACCGTACTTAGGATGTTTAGAATAGACCTCTTCTTGACGGCTAATGCCTAAGGAAGATGGTGTCACCACAAAACAGAGGGACTTTGATAGGGAATGTTTTTCACAATCCGTCTGAACAAATTTGGCAGGAAGCGAGGGATTATTCACCCATAGTATCTCTGGCCCCGCCCCTGCAATTTATAATCCACAATTTCAGGATTCTACCTCTTATCAAGGAGTGCCTGCACACACAGAGCTAACAGTATATGGATTATTCTGAAGATTAAAAGCAAAAGTATTTCTGTCAGTCGGAAAATATAGTTTGTACAAATTTTGCCTCTGCTGGCAAAGAACCTATATTTAGCTCTGTGTTTTGTAAACCTTTAGTTGGAGGCTAAGACAGCCATACATGGAAAAGATCCTAGGAAACATCCTAGGAAACATCTGTCAATGCAGGGGTGCAGAAGATAAAAAAGGTAGTGGGTTATCCTCATAAAAGGTGGAGAGGACAGGAATCACACTCTAGGTAGATGAATTGTAAGTCTGCACCCACATTCCAGGTTCTGACTCTCATCCCATAGACCAGATCTCCTCCCAGATGAATGTATAAAAGCGAACAACCCCAAGATCAAACAACCACATGGAATGCTCCCTCTTTTGAATTTGCTGAGGAGTGCCTCTGTGTATAGAGTTGTTTGAATCTGTAGTATTCCCCATAGCAGACTCATTCTTCTGTAATCACGGAGTCGAACCATGAAGAAAAATCCAGCTGACTGTATATTTTTACCTCTTTACTGCCACTAGTTTTCCATCAAAATAATAGAAATGGAGGGAAAACATTAAGTTACAACTAAATGAAAGACAAGGCCCTCTCCTTTGATCACCAATAATTCTTACCTAGGTTTGGAGGTAAATCTACATTCTATGGCAGGGTGGAGAGGAAATCTGGTATACTTTGAGACAGTATCAAATCTACTACATACTTGATAATTTTTTTCTTCACCTACATTGTTTGTGATTTTAATTTAAAGGGTTTGCTAAAATACATTTTTGTAGAAGTAACAGAAAAACTATTGTCAAGCCATTATCTTCAAAAATCTACTACAGAATCAAAAACAAAAGAGGCTTGAAAAATTATATCTGAAGCATGTTTTATTGTTTTGCAAGGTGTGGTATCACACAGTCACAGAAACCATCATTCTCTCTTTTGCTCGTACCAGTTTTCAGTAACTTAGTATAAAGGATTAAAATTTCAATTCCCTCAAGATTCAACTCAAATCCTCTAATGAGAACTTTCATTTCAAACGATGTTTTGCTCTTTTTATATAATCCTAGAATGAAAATAAAGAGGGCTTAAGAGATGGTCTAATCTAGTCTCACGTTTCCTTAAAAGTAGACAGCAAAACCATCTGTAAGTAATGGGAATAATGCTATTTAATATAAAGGTTTGAGAGGAAACTATTTCCTGTACGTGTTGTCTATCACTCTAATACCTTTTAGACTAATAGCTGAGTTTTCATTCTGTAGGAAAGCAGTGTCACTGAAAGCCAATTCTCCTCCAGTACTCAGCTGGGTTCCAAAGTTGGGTTAATACCATAAATTTTAAAGACTGCCTTATTTTACTGCCCCTCTGCAGATTGTGAGCTCCTTCAAAAAATGGGAGCCAGGTGATCATCTTTATAACATGTTCTACATTTTAATTCCATGCCTAGCACATACTTGTATACATCAAGCAATACTAGTGTGTCAGACACTATGTTAGACAGGCTTAGAAATGTTTATATTGATTTTTGAGTGATTATCATTTACAATACAAGTTTTTATTTGTTATAACCTTTCCCATACCCTTATACCAGGTAGTCCTTATTTTCAGCCTTATTCTGTTCAATTATTGATATATTAAAAAAAAAAAAGTCAGGGGCACCTGGGTGGCTCAGTAGGTTAAGCTTTCAACTCTTGATTTTGGCTCAGGTCATGATCTCAGGATTGTGGGGTGGTGACCTGTGTTAAGCTCCATGCTTAAGCCGGGTGTCTGCTTGAGATTCTGCCCCTATCCTGACTCAGTCTCTCTCTCCCTCTCTCTCTCTCTCTCTAAAACAAATATTTGGAAAAAAAAATCAGAAAGTCAGACTGTGACTTAGGCATTTAATTTTTACATGGGAAATATTTCAAGTAAAGAAAACCATCAAAAATATTAGTCACAAGTTTCTTTTTGTATCAATGAAAACAAGTACTTGAGTGATATATTGGCTAACTTTCTGATACTGTTTTTCCAAAAATATATTTCATTTCAACATGGTCAGTTGATGTCTACTATTTATTGAACTGTGAGCTACTTTGGAGAATTTATTTTTCCAGGAATGCAACGTCATTCTAAAAGTATCTTTCATTATACAGTATAGGACCATATATGAGAGGGAAAAAAAAAAAAAAAAAGCAAGGAGAGTGCTTTTGCTGTCTTTTCCATCTTGCCTAACTGCTACTATTAGTATCACCCTTGATGCAACTTTCACTGCTATCTAATGGCCATTAAACACGTGTTGGGGAAGATCATGAAAAAGACAAAGGCTACTAGACTTGTGAGCTGGACCAGGGCATTTGGAGCCTCCTCACCTTCTTCCCTATCCTTAGAATGTGGGTTCCATTTACCCTTCCTGTTCCCAGAGGCTGTTCCAAGATCATAGCCTTGAGATGGTGATGTGGTGTTGAAAACACCTGCATAGTATAGATGACTGAGCAAAGCTTTAGGGCCTCTTTATAAACTTTTAAGAATTGGAGGGTGGCATGGGGATCCATTTGCTTTGCTGCCACACAAGACAAGGCTCATGTGGAGCCTTATTCAAGCGCCCACCCACCAAACTAGAATGGTCTCTTACTTCAGCGTCTCCCAGTCCTGAGTACAGGAGCAAATTTCAGATCTGGAAAGCATCCAAGAGGGTTGCAAACCAATAACACACCCGCTGATTTGACATTCTGGCCAGTCTAACCCTGAGTCATATGGTAGTTATCTATTAAATATCTTCTCAGAGGATGAATGGAAGAAAAGAATGACTGGAAAAAGAAACTTATTGGTTAAAAAAAAAAATACGAAGACCCATGAAACAGAAAGGATTCATTTTATTTGAAAGGATGACTTTTCTGCTGCAACTAAAGAAAATAAGAGAAAAAGAATGTGTGTGACATGATGCTTCCAAGCTACTTTTATTCTAAGCAAGCATATCACAAGCTGTTAAGCTTTCAAAACTTAAACACTTCAGCAGCAAACCTGAAAATAGTTTTACTTGATGTATTTTTTAAGGGTTAGAAGACTTTAGGTGGTCCTTGGGGTATGTT